GCTTCTTTCGCCAGTCCTTTCCGTTTGCCCCCTCATTCCAGCCGGCAACAGGGTGCGCTTAGTTAGGGCGAACCCGCCTGAGGGAGCACACGCCTCTGCTGCGGCTGATACTTGTGCTTCCCGCGCCCACGGTTTTAGTCCAAGTTCCTGTCCTGCACGGGGATGGGGCTTGTGCGTGGCTGTGAAACGCTTCTGTACGAGGAGCCCCGTCTTGGGTTTGGTGTCAGTCTGGTGGTGCCTTCAGAGCCTGTGGGTTTTGCTGTGTCTGCAGAAAACACCTCCAGGAGATCCCATCCTCCAGCAGCAATGTTTCCACCAGCTTCACCTGGGACTGGGACTCCAGCAAGACCTCGGAGTTTCTTTCCAGCATGGGAGTGTCTGTCCTTAAGAAGGATAAGCTGGGCAATGAAAACACTCCGCAGGACCTCCTGGTGCCGTCGTCCTGTCCTCCTCAGAAACGGCAGAAGATGAAGGAGAAGGAAAAGGACTTTATCATAATGCGCCGGCCTCGGCTGCTCCGAGAGGCAGAGTCAGGTACCGTCACCCTGGTCCTGGTTTTGTTTGCCCTTCAATGAAGACCGAGAGTGGGCATGACAAGTCATTAGTGCTTTACTCTTTGCTTTTTTTGCTCTTTCCCAGCAGAATATCACTTTTACATCTAGTGGTTTTCAGGCTTGAGCTGATAAGTCTTGTTTACCTAAGTCTTTAAGCAGAGGCGGTGTGTCTGGCTCCAGAACAGTGGCCTGTGTAAGCCATGGTTGGCTCCTTCCTAGCCTTCACCTTGCCAGCCCTGTGTGCTAGGGATTTGTGTGCCCTGTGTCCCAGCCTGTGTGCTAGGGTTTTGTGCTGTGCGTGCCTGTGTCTGCCAATTCTTGCTGCTTGGGACCTGGGGGCACCTTGGCCCAGTGGGACTCTGAGCTGCATCTGTTGCTTTTCCCAAGAGACCTGTTCCAGGAGATGTTTTGCCACATACCAAGTGGGGCCAGTCTCCTCACAAAACACAGCTGTGGCTGCCAGGTGAATGTGGACTCTTGGTGCTGCTGTCCTCAATGTAACTCTGAAACCCAGGGGGGTTGATTTTTTTAAATTATTTTCCTTTTTTTACTTAAGCATCTAAGAAGTAAGATACTTGGTCCTCAAGACCAAATGGATCCAGATCCACATCTGTCACAGGCAAGGCTGAGGTATGCCAGAGGGGCAGCATCTCAGCTCCTGTTGGAGCTGACCGGTGAGCAATGCCAGGGATCCTGCCAGAGAGCTACAGGGAAGGCACAGCAAAGGGCACAAGGCCCTTGGGCTGGAGAGGTAAGAGCAGGGCTGTAATCTGGGGCCCTTGAAGAGGTTTATAGGATGATGTGTTTCTTTCCCTGGTATCAAAATGTATTTTCAGTCTGCAGTGACTACAGAATACAAAACAAACAGCTCTCTCCAGACACTAGGCTGTCACATGAAAGGTGGGAACGTCCTCAGACAGCTTGGCTTTTAAATGAGTTGAGTGCTGGGTCATAGGCAGCTGTTCTTGAGCTCCACCACCCAGAAATCTGCCATGTGAGTGGCAATGTCTTCTGGAGCCCTGAATCTACTTGTCAGAGGTTGAGATTGCACCACATCCTTTCAGATAATTCTTGGAGTGGTGGCAGTTAGCATGTGTGTTTTAAGGATCGGTTTGCGGTACCTCTTTTTCACCATGTACTATGCAAAAGCAGAGCGCACTTTGGGCTCCTTTCTGGGAGCCTGATAGCACAGGAAGGATGGGCGTTTTCAGCAGGGGAAAAAGAAAAAGGAGGACCCTACAAGCCTTAGAATACAAAGGAAGTTAACTGAGATGCTCGTTTCCAGAATGAGTACGTGAAAAAAGATTGTTGTCATTTTTTTCAGGGAAATTTTTTTTCTGTAGCTTTAATATGTATACTAAGTTGACATGGAAAGCTTTGCATTTGCTAGTCGTACCCAGGCAAAGATGGTGATAATATCCTTCTACAGTGAAGGGCTGAAGGCCCTAGTGAAGGGCTGAAAGAGGGATGAGTAGTGGGGCTGATGTCTGCAGAGCCTAGAGAGAGACTGTAGAGGTGCTTTTTTTGCCAAACAAAATATCTGATCAGATGCTGGCAAAAATGAAGGAGGCTTAACTAGAAATGTTTGCCCTTTTCCTAAAGGTGTTTCTTGGGATGCGCTTCCAGATGAACTGCTTTTGGCGATCTTTGCATATTTGCCCCTAAATGACTTGCTAAAAGTTTCCCTGATTTGCAAGAGATGGCATTGTCTTTCGTAAGTATTACTTCTCGTCATTTAGTACCAAGAAAACCTTTGCTTCGTAGACTGTTAAATGATCTGGTTCTCATCTTTTTTCATGTGTAATTCAATTTATGCTGTTTGTGGGTTATGTGTATGTATAATCAAAAGATGGCTCACATATATCAACATTAGTAAATTATATTAAATAGCTTTCCCTCCTCTTAGTCTTTTGTGACACTGAAAACTGTGTTGTACTCATAGTTCTGACCCTTTCTAACTCACTAACGAGTAAAATTCTGTGCCTTAGGTTTGACGAGTCTCTCTGGCACACTCTCGATCTGACTGGTAGAAACCTGCTGCCAGGAGTAATTGGACAGTTGCTGCCTGCAGGTGTTACTGTATTCCGCTGCCCAAGATCTTGTATTGGGAATCCGTTGTTTAAAACAAGCAAGTAAGGCTTTTTCTGCATGTTCTGGGTCCTGAAACCACGTCTCAAATATTCCCAATTTCTCTGTGTGTTTTTGGTTTCAAGGTCTCCATCTTAGTAGTAGTGTTTGTGCTCCCTCTGGAGGGTCGATGAGCTGATCAATGGTTAGGTGTGCGTTGAAATAAGAGGATCTGCATTCGCCTGTCTGTTACTTAAAACCAAGTTAATGTGATTTTTGAAAGTATCAAGCACCGTCATGCCCCCTTGCTAACAGTTCTTGGTACTATAAGGTACAAATTGTATCTCCAGCATTTTTATGTGGGAAGCTCAAATTATTTAACTCCAGCAGGACAGACTTTCAGACGTTGTGAGGAATCCTGTAAATGCCTCGAAGATTAGAGTTCTGCGGTTTTTGGCTGGTAGCTTAGCAGTAGGCCCAGTGAGCTTAGCATGTCCAGTGTGCAGCTGAATACAATAGTGTTAAGTATTTTCTGCAAGCTTTGCACTGTATTAGTGTATGGGGTATATTTATGGTATGGGGAATTTGTGGAGCAGGTTTTAATGCAATTTTAGTCACTTGCTTTTCTCCTCTAGTCCTCTCAGAGTTCAACATATGGATTTGTCAAACTGCACAGTGTCTGTTGCAGATCTCCAGAGTATTCTTTGCCTGTGTGAAAGGCTACAGAACCTCAGCTTGGAGGGACTAGTGCTTTCTGACGACATCATCAAGTGAGTGACGTGTCTGGGAATATTCAGGGAATACCTCCTGTTTTGTGCTATCATTTTGTGTAGGCTAGCAAAAGAACGCAGTTTAGAGTTGTTCGTGTGGGAGTCTTTTGAAACGGCCAGTTTTAGGCATCTAACAGAGCTAGCTGACAGGCTAGATGAGCTGCCTTTTTTTCTTCTCTATCCTTGAAGAGATAAGGTCAGGAGGAAACACGCCTCTAGAAGAGTGTTTCTTGGTGGCTTTTTTTTCATTTCCCTGAGTAGGGGGAGCCTGGAGAAACTGCTCCTCCCTCTAGGGCTATGTCCATTGGCTGTTCCCACAGCAAGCTGCACAGCAGAGCCTTTTATTTTCCCATTTCTGTGCTAGCAAGAGAACTTCGTTTGGCATACAGGTTCTTTTCTGGTTTAAGGGGCCTCAGCAGCTCCCCCCACCAGATGCTCGTTGTGCTTCTGCACTGTCTTACTACTTTGTTGAACTTCACTCTGCGTGGAAAATTACAGATTCTGCCAGGCAGATGAACTGTTGTTTGGTTAAACTGGAAAGACACTAATGGATGTACAGTCAACATCCGGCTCAATCACATCAAGTGATTGTGGAGGTGCCAGGAACTATCGGTCAGATAGAGCCTCTGGGTGTCTCTTACTTTTGAGCTTTCTGATGCCTTCCTCACACCAGAGGAGGGGGAAGACAAAAATAAAACCAGAGCACAAATAAACCAACATGGTTTGGCTTTTGATTCTAGATTAAAAGTATCTGAAAATTGGGTACTAATTAGGCACTATGATGGAATTTTGTTGCCTGTTTACAAATTTAGATACTGAGTGTAAGGGTTTTTCCAGATTTTGCCAACTGCATGCCTGCTCTAGTCTTGCAAACAAATGCATTCAGAGGGATGCTATTTGGACATGTGTTTTGTTCTGGAATAACCTCCCATCTTGCAGATGGGTGACTTCAGAGATGGGATGATCGCTTTGTCTTTTGTAGAGGTATAGTCATCTCTAATAAGCCATGGTGTGTGTTTAATGGCCTTCAACAGGGGGAAGTGGAAATAAGCTGTTTCCTTTTAAACTTCACAGTTTATAAATATGCAGACTTGTTAGGAATGTCAGATAAATAGGCAAGTATCCCTTTTGAAGTTGTACTGTCATGTAGCAAGTACAAATTTGAGATCCTTAGTGACTCCTAGGTTGGTCACTTTACTAAAGATGCAGTGCTGCATGTTTAACAAATAACTCTGTGCCTTAAAAATAATCACACATCCTAGCAATGCAAGCAATCTTTCAAGATTTAGATTTTATTAGACTTTTCTGTTTTCTTCTCTACAGGAGCATTGCTAAGAATCCCAGCTTGATGCGACTAAATCTCTGTGGCTGCTCAGGGTTTTCAGCAGAAGCCTTGGAGCTGATGTTGAGCAGCTGTTCTATGTAAGATAAGAATATTTTTCACTATTCCTTCTTACTGCAATTCTTGAGAAAAAGAATCCTTTTCATTTTTTTCCATAGCCATCCCAACTGTACTTGTCTCTGTTTTCTTTGTGAGCCTGTTTCTATTCCTAAACACCTAACAGTTAATTATTAGCTGAATAGTCAGATAGTTTCTTTCCATCAAGTTTTCTTCTTTAATATCAAAGATGTATTTCAGTAGTTTTTCATGAGTTTCCTTAACCATCCTTAAAGGAAGTCTTGTTGGTGGGTGAACCCCATTTATGTTGTCCTGCATCAAGAGGAGCGTGGCCAGCAGGTCGAGGGAGGTGATTCTCCCCCTCTACTCTGCCCTCGTGAGACCTCACCTGGAGTATTGTGTCCAGTTTTGGAGTCCCCAACATAAGAAGGACATGGACCAGTTGGAGAGGGTCCAGAGGAGGGCCACGAAGATGATAAGAGGGCTGGAGCACCTTTCCTATGAGGACAGGCTGAAAGAGTTGGGGCTGTTCAGCCTGGAGAAGAGGAGGCTCTGGGGTGACCTTATAGCGGTCTTCCAGTACCTCAAGGGGGCCTACAAGAAAGATGGGGAGAGGCTGTTCAGGAGGGCCAGTTGTGATAGGACAAGGGGTAATGGTTTTAAAATAGAGGGAGGTAGATTCAGGTTGGATATTAGGAAAAAATTTTTTACCATAAGAGTTGTAGAACACTGGAACAGGTTGCCCAGAGAGGTGGTGGATGCTCCATCCCTGGAGACGTTCAAGGCCCGGTTGGATGAGGCCCTGAGCAACCTGATATAGTTGGAGATATCCCTGTTCCTTGCAGGGTGGTTGGACTAGATGACCTTTGAAGGTCCCTTCCAGCCCTAACGATTCTATGATTCTATGATTCTATGATTCTATGATTCTATGATTCTATGATTCTATGATTCTATGATTCTATGATTCTATGATTCTATGATTCTATGATTCTATGATTCTATGATTCTATGATTCTATGATTCTATGATTCTATGATTCTATGATTCTATGATTCTATGATTCTATGATTCTATGATTCTATGATTCTATGATTCTATGATTCTATGATTCTATGATTCTATGATTCTATGATTCTATGATTCTATGATTCTATGATTCTATGATTCTATGATTCTATGATTCTATGATTCTATGATTCTATGATTCTATGATTCTATGATTCTATGATTCTATGATCCTTTTGATTAGTGTGTAAATTTGATTTTCTTAATGAAAGCAGTATGTGATCCTCACAAAGTGAATGTTCTTGAAACTGAAAAGTGGAGCCCCAGAGCTCTCTTTGCAATGAGAGTACAGCATGAATGGCAGAAAACATTGTGCCTTTCCATCCATGATAGAATAATCCTTCAGTAACCTTCTACTTTATGAAGCACTGTTCAGATTGACAGCTCCAGTGATTAAACCATCTGCTGGCCGGAAGTCACTGAACTGAGCCCCAGTCAGTCTGGGATTTATATCCTGATCTTTCTGCTGACTTTCTGTGAGATGCTGGAAAATCTACTTAATCTTTGCTTCTGCAAAAGCATGTTTTTAATCAAATGGCAAGTTAGTGGACAGACAAAGCCTTAATCTTTCTCTGCCTCTCGTGGGCAGATAATGCTTTCTATTGCTTGGTCTGAATTACTTGGATCATGAGCTCTTTAGAGAACAGCAGTCTGTACAGTGCAGTGAATAGCAGATGGCAAACCTGATCCTAGGAATGCTAGTGGCAATTTAACTGTTTTTTTTTCATTTATGTAGAGATTGCCAGCTAAATGCTGTAGTTGGGCTGTTCACTGTGTCTTTGTCCTCTGGCTACATCTACAACACCTGCATGCAAAACAAATAGTTTGTCCCAGACCCGAATGGTGATAGGCTATAAGTAATCAAGCATGTAAAGAGAGTTAAGACCACAGCGTGGCCCATGCTTATATAAAGCTATGAAGTATTTTATGCTAATGAGGATTAATTGGTCATCTGACCAATGCTAATGGATAGCCTTTTTTTCCTCTCAATATGAACATCTGTTCAGTAGTAACAGATTCAGGTCACAAACCCAGAAGCAACATGAAAAGACATTGTCTCCCCATGGCAGTCCCTGGAGAGAACCATTTCACTTCCGAAGGTATTATTGAATCATTCCAGTTGGAAGTCACCTTGGGAAGTCACTTTAAGCCTTTGCCCGAGGAGGGTCTAAATTCAGCACTGGCTAGGTTGACGAGGACTTTCTCTGGTTGGATCCTGAAAGCCTCCAAAGGCAAATTCTACAGCCTTGCTGGGCAACCTGTTCTGGTGCTTAAATACTGTCATAGCGAAATTTGAGGTCATGAATACAGGATGTCAGTAGTAGGTATGTTACAAGCTTTTGCCTTAAAAGTATCACCTGTAGTAGCTAATACCACAACTCAAACTGTATTTCAGTCATTCTTCAAAAAAACTTTGTTCATTTGTGTGTAGGTTGGAGGAACTGAACTTGTCCTGGTGTAACTTCACAGCCACCCATGTCAAAGCAGCAGTCAATCATGTTACTTCAAAAGTAACCCACTTAAATTTAAGCGGATACAGACAGAATCTACAAATAGCAGGTAAATAACACCATGGCAAACCTTTATCCCACTATGGGATAAAGCAGCAGGCTTTTTATTTTCTTCTGGTTGGCATCTGCTGTGTGTATAGAAAAATCATGCACCAACATTGATTTTGTGCTCTTGCTGTCAGAGAATCTTACTCATGTCTCTGGCTCAGCCAGGAGGGGTGAGGAGATTTGCTTTCTGAATTTAAAAATAGTCAGGTGAAAGCTCATTTCATCTTCAGTTGAAAGGTATAGCCCTTACTTCTGAAGGAAGTCCTGGAAGCAGAATACAGTGTCATGGTTTCAGCTGGGACAGAGTTAGTTTTCTTTTTAGTAGCTGGAACAGAGCTGTGTTTTGGATTTGGTATGGAATTTGTTATGAGAAGAATGTTGATACCGCACTGATGTTTATAGTTGGTGCTGAGACATCAAGGACTCTTCAGCTTCCCATGTTTTGCCAGTGTGCAGGAGCACAACAGGCTGGGGGGGAATATAGCCAGTACAAAGGATCTACAATTCCTGGCTTAGGATTTGAGTTTAGACTTAGGGTTGAGGTCCAAATTGGCCAAAGGAATATTCCATACCATGCAACGTCATTCCCAGTATATACATGAGGGTTGGCCGGTCAGTTTGGTTTCTAAGGCTCTCTCTCTTTCTCTCTCACACACACTCTCTTTTTGGATCTCTTTTTGGGGCACTTGCTCTTTTGGGATTGCAGTTTGGGGACTTATCTGTTTCGGGATCACTTAACCGGGATGGGACAGGTGTTGGTCACTGGGTGGTGAGCAATTACACTGTGTATCACTTGTTTGTATATATTATCATCATAATTGTATTATTTTTATCATTATTACTTTTTATTTTATTTCAATTATTAAATTGTTATCTCAACCCATGAGTCTCCTTCCCTTTTCCCCTTTAATTATCTTTCCCATTCCCCAGGGGTGGAGGAGGATGAATGAGCAGCTGTGTGGTATTTAGCTGCTGGCTGGGCTAAACCACACCACACTGGATCCCATGGTCCACTGTGAACTGTGAACTAGCCTTCCAAATCCTGGTTTTGGAGCATTCTTAAAGGTTCTGCCATTGTGGCTGCTGAAGGCGTCTTCCAAAAGAACAGTCATAGTAACTACTTGAGTTTCAGCCTGACATGACATACCAATAAATTTGTAAGGCAAATAGTTAGTGTTAATCACTGAGATTATTTACTTACTAATAGTTCTAGGAGGGAAAATTGGGTAAAGTTGCAGGGTAATAGAAAATGCAGAGAAATCTAGATTTGGGGAGAGGGCACAACAAAATGGGTAAGTGCATACATAAAGGATGAAATGGTTTTGGTGGTAAAGAGAAATTAATTTTCTCAATGAGTAAATGTGATGATAGGGCATTGGCTGACAAGCAGGTAGATCACACACAGGCTGTGACCTATCTTGTTCCTCTTTAAATGTCACACAGCATGCATTGCCTTGTTGGGAAGTACACCAGTCTTTTTATCTCAGCCCAAAGCCCAGAAACAAGTATGTAATCTCCTCAAAATCAGGAATTTGAACCTTCTGTTGATCTGACCATTAGAGACAATGTGTGGAGCTCTTCTGTTTGCATAACAGTTTCTACGACTTAATTTTGCACTGTTTCAATTCAATTTATAAGGCATAAGATTTGAATAGTTCACTAATGATTATAATTTAGGTATTTTCTTTATTTTTTGCACATGAATTCTGAAATATGAAAATTCTCTTGCATGCTGATTAGCACCTTGCTAATAATAGTGGCCTTCTAGGTAATATCCGAGTCAGTGGTGATTCTATGCTATTTACAGACAATGCAAAGATGGTCTCAAGAACATACACTTCAGATTGGGAAAACCTTAACCTTCTGTCATGAGGGAAGAACTTTCTGTGGGTAAAAACTGAGATGCCTAAAGAACTTTGTGGACGACACCAAGCTGGGAGGCTGTGTCGATCTGCTTGAGGGTAGAGAGGCCCTTCAGAGGGATTTGAACAGACTGGATCGTTGGGCTGAGGCCAATGGCATGAGCTTTAATAAGGCCAAGTGCAGAGTCCTTCTCTTGGGGTACAAAAACCCCAAGCATCGCTA